GTGCTGGGTGCAGGCTCCGGGCTGGGGCAGGGGGTGGGTGTGCAGGACGGGGTGAGGGGTGCAGGCTCTGGGAGGGAGTTTGGGGGCAGGAGGGGGTGTGTGGGAAGGGGAGGGGGTGCACACTCTGGGAGGGAGTTTGGGGATAGGAGGGGGTGCAGGGGTGAGGGCTGTGGGGCTGAGGATGAGGGTGTGGGGGATGAGAGGTTCATGATGCAGGAGGGGGCTCAGGGCTGGGGCAGAGGATTAGGGTGCCAGGGGATGAGGGCTGGAGATGTGGAGTTTGGGACATTGGAGAGGCTCAGGGCTAGGGCGGAAGGGCAGGGTAAGGGCAGCCTGCCCTGCCATTAGCGGATGGGGCAGCAGACAGTAGTTGCTGCCGGGAGCCGCTCCGCACAAGCAGGCACGGGAGAGGCGCGCGCCGCTTTCTTCCAGGCAGGGACGCTGGGGGTGTGTGTGTGTGGCGGCGGGGGAGAGACCCAGCTCCAGATATTGGTGGAGCAGGGCCCTCAGCCCTGAATATTCCTGGAGCCTGGCTCCAGGGGAGGGGGGGAAGCGGGGGAGGGGCCGGCGGCTTGCTGCGCTGGGAGAGTGGAGCCATTTGCCCACCCCTGCATTAGGGTGTGCCTGGGCACACCCGGCACACCCCGTGCGCACGCCTATGGGGCCCTTGTCAAGGTGACAGGCTTTTGGGTTGCATCCCTTTTCCCTGCACTGGAGAGTAGGAAACGGGGCAGCATGGCAGGGCTGTGAGTGCTGAGAGGCACAAGCCCTCTGCCTCCTTTGGCATTTTGTTCCTGCCTTGTAGCTCATCTCCCCATCCCCCTTTGGCTCAGGCCCCCTGTCCTGCATGTGCTGTGCAGATGGGAGGGATGTGGAAGGCAGCCTAGCTACAGAGGATCTTTCTGTCTCCCAAAGGACTTAGCAGAAATCCAGGGGGCTCAGAGCCAGGCGATGGGAATGACCAGGGACAGACTTCCAGACCACGAGAGATTGGGAAGATTGGGGCTGTACCTTACAGAGGAGACAAATACGATGCTAACAGAATACAGACTAATGCATGCACAGGAGCCTCCGTTCAGCCTGTCTTATCACACAGGAACAAGGGGGCGTTCAACAAAATGGAAAGGCAGTAAATTCAGAACCCACAAAAGGAAATGCTTTTTCACACATTGTGTAATTAGATTGCGGAACTCCCTGCTGCATGAAATTATTGAGAAAAAGAGCTTAGAAGGCTTCAAAATGAGACTGCGCATTTATACCGATAACATATCCAGAGCTACAGTAGTAATAGCCAAGGGTTTGTCAGGGCTCTTGGGGGTCAGGAACTGTCCCTGGGGACAGGTTATCCCACAGCTGCCTCCCTACACCTGTTTCCCACACCTCTTCTGAAGTAGCTGGTGCTGGCCACTGCCAGAGACTGGACACTGGGCTAGATGGACCTTGGGTTTCTGATCCAGTCAGGCAATTCTTGTGTCCCGATGTGAATGTAGGAGATTCCTTTCCCTAAAGCCCTAGGGTGGAGGGATGTTCAGTGATCAACATGGAGACCAGGGGTGAGTGGGTGTGTAATGGCAATTGCCCGTACTAGCTCCAGCCTTCTAATTCCCAGAGACCCAGGTCCGCAGCCTGCCAGGAGGGCAGCCAGTTCTGAGTGACATTCCCCTCTGATCTCAGTGCTGGCAAGGGGGACTGGCCCAGCCCATCTGCTGCACAGCTCCCAGTGGAGCCTCTTGCTTTGCTTCTGCATCAGGTTGTCCCTTGCCTGCACAGTGCATTGACCAACCCCACCAGGCTACAGCTGTGACAGAGAGAGAGAGAGAGAGAGAGAGACCCTTTTTCAGGGAAATGAGCCGGGAGAAAAAGCCCTAATTGTGCAGTGAGTAAATGGAAAGCACCTCCGCTTTCCAGACCAGCGCCAGTTTGCCTGCTTCATTAGCCCTGATCCATCCCCTTGGAAGCCAGCCGCAGCAGACATCGCTCCCAGCTGACAACCTGCCATGCAGAACTTCAGCCTTTGCTCATTAAATGCAACCCCACAGCTGATTCCTCTGCCAGTGCCAGAGAGCTTTGCTTGTGGAGGCCCAGATGCAGCCAAAGCCTGATTTTGGCCTTGTTTTTTCCCTTATAGGTTCTTCTGAAGATCTGAAATTCTGCATCCTCTACCTTGCAGAGGTGAGTGTAGAGCTTTGGGAGTTGAACTCCACAGAGCCTAAAATGTACTGCACACTAACCAATGCTTTGTAGTGGGGACAGAGAGCAGAGGCTGGATCGATTTCCCGTCTCTTTTGAATTAGTTTGCCAGTTGTCGGGAAAGGAAACATAAATGGCTGCAGCTGTTAAGTGGAATCTGTGACTCAGGAGGCAGTGAAGAGTTGATGCCTGTACCCTTTCCTTCCCCCCAATCCAATCAGGGGGCAGCTGTTTCCCCACTGCTCTGACTTTTGATTGGTGCCTATGGGTTCTTTAGCCCACTGATGGATTTCTTTGCCAGTTTATTTCGATTTGACTTTACAGGTGGTTTTCTGTTCTTGCCTTCAAAATCAGACTTTTAAACAATCAAGTAGGAACAACCAAACCCAACACATAGTATCCGAAGAAGTGAGGTTTTTACTCACGAAAGCTTATGCCCAAATAAATCTGTTAGTCTTTAAGGTGCCACCCAACTCCTTGTTGTTTTTATAGTAAATTCCTATTTATCCAAATGGCCTTGGGTAACTGGGCATTGGGATAGATGGAAGTGCTATTTTGAGCTGCATATAATCCTGTCAGGTTGTTTTTACTGCTGAAATGGGATTAGGTCTCAGTGACTGCAGGTAACTGCTCAGAACAGCTACACAAACACAAAGTCATTGATTAGTGCTAAGAGGCTAATAGAGAAGTTATTAGCTGGTGATTAACTAACATAAGGTTTCAGGGAGGGCACACAGTGGATTCAGATACTCTTTATCCGAAAATCCTAGTTATTTGTGTAACTGGAATTACACTGTAAAAGACTGCTTTACATAAACACATCTAAAAGAGCATACGGATGGGAGGTGACTGAATATCATACACATGTTTATAATCACTTGTATTTTAGCCGAGTTCCCTTTGTCAGAAATGAGTTGAGAATGCTGCAGAACTTGTTCTTTGTGAAATGAACCTACCCAATTACCAGATCTTGTGCCTGCTTTTTGTTTTTATTTTTTGCAAGTGACTCCATGTTGTTCCTGATTTCAAGGCCTGATATTTAGAGGGCAGGAGTTTGGGTCTAGAACTTGCTGCGTGACCTCTCTCTTTGCCCTCCCACTCTCTGTTTGTCTATTTCAATTATAAGATCTGTGGGGCAGGAACACTCTGTCCCTATGCTACGTACAGCACCTAGCACAACGGGGCCCCAACCTCGTTGGAAACCTCTTGACACTACCGTAATACAAATCAATAATAATCATTTTGTGACTCTAAAATGTAGCATTTTGCCCAATTGTCAGTTTTCCCTTGAAGCAGAGAGTATGTCAGTGGGAAAGTGCAACCCTTGTCCAAGGCTATGGCTACACTACAGCTTCAGTGGACATAAATTATGTCTCTCCAAGGTGTGAATTAGCCACCCCACAAGCAACAGAATTTATGCTCACGGGGGGCTGGAGGAATGAAGTGGAGGGGAGAGCTCTCTCCTGTTGGCTTAGAGTGGCTACACAGAGCTTACAGTGGCATGCCTGCATCCCTGCCAGGACTGGCAGAAGCTCCCTAAAAGTGTGGGGGGGGCACCAGTGCCTGAACTGTGGCCCCACTCCCACACCACCCTTTCTCCCTGAGGCCACACCCTCCACTCACTCCTTTCCACCCCCTCTCCCCCACTGCCTGCCCTTACAGCTGGTAAAAAGTGGGAAGGCAAAGCCCCCTGTCCCCCCCCAGTTCCACCACCCCTGATTGGTGCAGCTGTGCCACTGTAAGCTCTCTAGTGGAGCCCTAGCCTAAGCTCCATTTTGGATTCCAACATACCATTTTTGGAGGTTTAGATCCAATAAACAGAACATTTTGCAGGAGTTTTTTGTGCAGAGTTGGCTTGTTCTTGCCAAGCGGTAGTGAAATGCCAAGCTCTGTCCTTGTGCTGGGTTTGAATGTCACTGTGAATCTATCCCACATCTCTGCTCCTGGTAGCCACAACTGATACCCCGGCTAACGTGATGGTTGGATCAAAAGTCAGAAACATTCACTTCCTGCTCTTCCCCAGCATTAATTTCTGCAGCCCTGCTGCTGAGGCCTGTAGCTCTGGAGAGTGGGCAGGGTTTAGGCCAGTGATGCAGGATTTAGGAAGCCCTTCTTCTCCTTGTCTCCACTTCCCTAAGTTATGTCTAGCCTTGCGATTTCCTCTGTTCATCTTAGTCTGAAAGCCAAGGGAATGCTTTCAGCCATGTACTGTGGCTCATCCGCCAGCAGGGGGTGCTCATGCTTTGATCAGTGAAAGCCTCTAGACACAAAGATGCCATCGCCCTAACAGCGCATCTCATCTCTGCTGAAAAGCCGTGGCCTTTCTCAGACTGGGGGATCACTGCCATCCCAGCCAGCATCTCATTAATCTTCCCCTTCCACCAGGGCCACCCTCTCTCTGCCCAGTCACCCACTGCTGCTGGAAAGAGCACAGAGCCTTCGTGCCTGGTTCAGGCGGGTGCAGAACAAGGGTAGACGCCCTGTCCCTCACAGTGCGAGAACTGGTTGAGGGTGTCCAAGGGACCTGTACAAATGGCACTCTTGCCTGAAAATGCTGGGCCTGCCCTGTCTCAGTGAGGGCTGGAGCTGACCGAGGGAAGGGGAAATGTTCTTTCTCTGTTTTTTTCAGTCTGCTTCCTTTGTGTGTTTCCCACCCACTGTATATATAGCCAGCGTCACTCCCTGTCCAGTAAGACAGCTACGCCTGCTTTGCTGCTTTGGGGGAGCCCTTCATGCAGCACTTGGGGGGGGGGGAGGAGGAAAGGATTTTAAAAAATAAGACAATGTGATTGTGAATACACAAGCAAGAACGGGCAGGTGAGGGGAGACAGGTAATGATGAAGCATCTTCCTTTCACAAAGCTCAATGAGCATAACAGAGACATGTCATTCCAACTGTACAGAGGAGAAACGGAGGTGCGGAGAGGGGAAATGACTCGCCCAACATCAAACATAGGTCCTACCAAATTCACACTCCATTTTTGTAAATTTCACAGTCATAGCATTTAAAAAGCCTTGAATTTCATGGTGTAACAAAGCATGAATATGTATTTAAAAACAGCAAAATATAAACCTAGTCAGCATCTCTCAAGTTGGGGGGCCTGACCCGAGAAGGGGTTGCAAGGCTGTTGTCAGGAGGGGAGTCTCAGTATCGCCACCCTTACGTTTCGCTGCTTTCAGAGCTCGGCAGTCGTAGAGCAGCTGTCTGGGCAGCACCGCCACGAGCCACAGCGCAGAAGTAAGGGTGGCAATAATGTGACCCCCCCCATAATAGCCCTGCAGTCTTTGGGTCAGGACCCGCAGTTTGAGAAACACTGTGCACTTTTGTATATTTTTACCCGGCCTATAGTTTAGTATAGGGTAAAAGTACACAAAAGACCAGATTTCACGGGGGAGACCAGAGTCCATGGTCCGTGACGCGTTTTTCACGACCGTGAATTTGGTAGGGCCCTAATCATACCTGTGAGTTCGTGGCAGAGACAGGAATAGAGCTTGTGACTCTTGACTCACTCATCTTCTCCCAGTCGACATGCTATCTCACTGCCATGACCAAGAGGTTACTGTCCTGGGAGCTAAGGAGAATAATGCTGCTGTTGCCAGTGCTAGACTAAGGGATGAAGGAGGGTTGATGGGTAAAGTACAGGCCTGGGAGAGAGGACAGCTGGGTTCCAGTCTTAGCTCTGCCACTGACTTACTTGGTGACCTAGAGCGAGCCACTTAAACTCACTGTGCATTGGTGGGGTAAAATCCTTACCTGCCATCTGCAGTGGATGAGGGTTCTGGGACTAAATTCATTGTCTGCTGAGTACATGTAGATCCGTTGAAATGCAAAGTGCTGCTGTTAGCAGGAAGGAAGGCGAATGAGAGTTCTGGTAGTTAAATTGTGGTGGGGTGGGCTCACTCCAGCTTTCCCCACAAACCCAGCTGTGCCCACTTGAGGTGGCAGAAGGAGGCTGTGACTCACATTAGGTTGTGAGATCATCACAATCAGCTCCTCCATCTTCTTTCGTGCACAGATCAGCAATGAAATATCAGCCCAGCTTTGATACATGACAAGGTACTGGAACAAATTCTTAATCGGTTTGTAAGCACCCAGAGGACAACAGGGTTATGAAGAATAGACAAGATGGATTTTTTAAGGAAAAATCATGCCAAACCAACCTGATTACCTCCTTTGACAGGGATCCTGGCCTAGTGGATTGGGGGAAGCAGTAGACGTGATATATTTTGATTTTAGGAAGGTTTTTGACACAGTCCCACATGACAGTCTCCTAAGCAAACTAGGGAAATGTGGTCTAGATGAAATTACTACAAGGTGGGTGCACAACTGATTGAAAGACCTTACTCAAAGAGTAGTGATCAATAGCTCACTGTCAAACAGGAAGATGTATCTAGTTGGGTCCCGGAGGGGTCAGTCCTGGGTCCAGTACTGTTCAATATTTTCATTAATGACTGGGACAATGGAGTAGAGAGTATGTGTATAAAATTTGTGGATGACACTGTCACAGTTTTGGGGTAACTGCACCTGTATTCCCCTTTTGTGATCTCTCAAGGGCACCTATTTAAAGGTTTAAGGCTCCCAGCTGTCACCCACGTCTCTCTCCTTCCAGACCAGGGTTTTAAGGCTGCATAGCTCCATGAATTACACTATGATATCCCCAGCAAGCCAGTCTGCCTAGCGGACAATGCCTGCACTTTGCTTTCTCTCTGAGAACTATGCCCAGTGTATTGCCAGCAGTCACAAGTGACCACGCAGCTCCTTCTGAGCAAGCACCTTTATTCTTAAGGTAAAAGCATCACAAAGAAAACATATTAAGACAATAAAGGTTCCTATATGCAGGCTAAAAGCTTACCGTAGGTCAGCCCTCAGTCTCATGGGCCCCTGGTAGGTTCAGTTTTTCCAACCCTTCCACAAGGATTGGGGCACCCTTTGGAAGGAGGTCCTGGCTGTTTACTGGATCCGAACAAACAGCCTGAGTCAGT